GGCCCTGCAATCTTCCCGTGAAATCAGACAGCTGCCTCCTTGAATTAGGTAGACCCCTACACATATCCTTTCAAGGACTCTGGGAAAATGCCTTGAGAAGGACTTCTCAAAAAGGAAAATTTTGTTTCTGGTTGCCTCCTTAAAGAGCAAAGCTAAGAAGCCCCAAGTATAAGAGGCAGGTGGGGCAGGAGCTTGTGCTGTGCAGAAGAAAATGCACAAAAGGATCCTCCAAGTTTGGGATCAACTTTGAAATTAGTTTCTGAGCATCTCCATATGAATCTTCCAGAGTTTGCTAATCACTAGGGAGAGGAGTCAAGGAGGTCTGTATTTTCCAGAATCTTCAAGAAAGGGTCATGTTTGTTTACTGCATAGGGGGAAGGCAACATCATGAAAGTTTCTTATAACAGACCCAAATCCTGATAAAACCTGCCCCACCTCTGCATTTATAGATAGCTGTAACTCAGTTGAACCAGTGAAGTTCCAGTACAGATGGGGGAAAGCACATTGCAGACCCAGCAAAGGCTGCTTGTACACAATACAGTTGTGCTCCATGGAGGCGCATATTGTCCCAGAAAAAGGGTAGAGAGGCTGGTGGAGCTGTAAATGCAAATACCCTGGCAGTTCACCTCTGAGACAGTGGTAGCAGCTGACAGCATGTTTGCTGTCATTGTGAAGCCTAAATTTCTTCCCCTGAACTACCTGTGATATCCCTAGCAGGCAGCTTGGTCTTTAGATTGTTTGCTGTATTCCACAATTTGACACACACATATTTGTGTGAAGGGGTCAGTATTGAGGTTGACCTGGGCTTCTTACTTCTATAGTTCCTGCTATAAAATGTGACATTTTCCTTGAATAAGGAGTTTCTTGGGCTTAGTTTTTTGCACTGAGTATATTTAAGCCAGGCACTAATGTGCCAAGAAAAGAAAATTGTGCAGGACTTTACACTTGTCCTTGTTGAACCTCATGAGATTCCTTTTGTCCCAATCCTCCAATTTGTCTAGGTCACTCTTAATCCTAGCCCTATCTTCCAGCATATCTACTACTCCCCACAGCTTGATGTCATCTGCCAACTTGCTGAGGGTGCACTCTATGTCATCTTCCAGGCCGTTGATGAAGACTTTGAACAAAACCAGTCCCAGGACCACACCCTGGGGCACTCCACTTGATACTGGCTGCCAACTAGACATTGAGCCATTGATTACTACCCTCTGAACACAATACTCCAGCCAGTTTTCTATTCACATTATGGTCCACTCATCCAGCCCGTACTTCCTTAGTTTGCCTGTGAGAGTGTTGTGGGAGATCGTATCAAAAGCCTTACTAAAAATCAAGGTATACCACATCCACTGGTCTCCCTGCATCCGCAGAGCCAGTCACCTCATCATAGAAGGCAATTAGGTTGGTCAGGCATGTCTGGCCCATGGCGAATCCATGCTGACTGTTCCTAATCACCATTTTCTCCTCCAAGTGCTTAGAAATGGAT